TGTTGTTATAACAATATCGAAATGATATCGATCTGATATTTTTTCAAACAAATATCTTTACGATATCATTTTGATATATTGAATTAATATTGAAATGATATCATTGCGATATCATAATGATATTATTTGCAAATTTATATCTCCACGATATTTATTTAACATCATTATTATATCAATTCGGTATTGTTTAAAAATTCAAGGTTTCTGTAAAGATCTATCAAGTGAAAGTCATACCGGCGAATTTTTAGCCAAAACAATTGAAGAAATAATTGATGAAATTAGTCTGGCAAAATTTTCAGCGATTGTAACAGATTCAGGAGCAAATATTCGAAATGCACGACAAATTATCACAGAATAATATAAAAATATCTTTAATGTGCATGCTATTAATCTGATTTCAAAGGATATTTGCTCTACTTCATTTGCAAATCGGATTTTAACAAAGTGTAATACTATAGTGACATTTTAAAAAAAGTCATCAAAGAGGTAATTTAATTTTTAATTTATTTATTTATTTAATTTATAATTTTTTTAATAAAAAAAGGTTTTGCATTAAAAGAAGAAGCTAAAGCCTGCGATATTAATGGAGGTAGATTGAAAAAGTGGGCAGATACCAGATGGCATACTATGTATGATTGTGTTGATTCAATTATGCGTCATAAAGTACCATTAGAAAATGTAAGCTTTTAGAAATTATTTGTCTGAATTCATTTAATTATTAATTTAACAAATAATTTCTTTTTTTTTGCCTTTTTATTTAGTTAAAATGTGAAAAACCTGAAACTCTTTCAACAGCAGTATTGTCAGTTCTACGAACATGTGCATTTTTTGATGATGTACGTGCATTAGCATTTACTTTACGTCCTATTAAACAATCAATTGCAGCGTTAGAATCTCAGTCTTGCACTCTTGCTGATTGTTTTTTTGGACTTGCAAGACTTGGAGCTGCGATTAAAAAATTATCTAATAATGATCACCGGGTTTTTCACCAGCAGTGCATTTCAGTTTTTAACCGTTGTTACGCTGAATTTGCTGATCCAATATATTTATTGTGCTTTTTTTTACATCCGTATTATACTGGTAAGTTTGAATCAGATTACCTATAATTATTATAACCCTATAAAAAGTATTATACTTAAAATATACTTAAAATATATTTAAAATATACTTAATTTAAAAATTGCAAAATACTTATAATATATTTTTAATATATCTAAAATATACTTAAAATTATCTTAAAATATATTAGAAATATATTTTAAGATAATTTTAAATACATTTTAAGTATATTATAAGTATTTCGCAATTTTTAAATTAAATATATTTTAAGTATATTTTAAATATATTTTAAGTATATTTTAAATATATTTTAAAAAGTTTTTAATTATATTTTAAATATAAATACTTTTTATAGGGTAATAATAATTAGTAAATAAATTGAATACAATAGGTTTTTTTTTTGAAAAAAAAGCAGAGTATATTATAATAAAATAATTAAAATTACAATTTATTTATTAATAATTTAGTATTTAATAGTGTATTATATAATTATATTATTTGAATTATGTATATTCTAATGATTATGGTAATATATGAAAATAATTACTAAATAGAAAAAAATTTAAATGCATATTTATTTTTCAAAAGAAAAAAAATAAATAAAAAAAAAATTATTACATAATATGAATTATTTAACGTGTAAATCATATGATTTATTATTTTACTTTATTATTTACTAAATTTAATATATCAAATAAATATTTCAGAAATCATCAGCAAGTTTGAAAAGTGTTGATTCACACCAGTATACGCATTGATCAATACCAGCTAGTTGTTCAACATGTTTTACAATATTAATCAACACCCGTATACTGGAGTATATCAACGCTTAATGTTAATATACGTGTCATTCAACTCTAATGTGTAGTTCAACACATTATGC